AAGAAAGGGGGTGGGGATGGGGACACAACAAAGGAGAATGCAGATACGCTTTCTGGGAGGCCTCATCTCCACGCCATCCGAGGACTCCGCATTCCCTCTTAACGGTAGAGCTGCTTCCCAAAATACCCCTCCCGGGAGACCGGGAGACCGGGAGACTCTTCTCGTAAAGCTTGTGCGCAGGGACACGATGACAGCGTATCACAGTTGGCTAGAGGGAGGACAACGGGGACGTGAGGTGACCCACTGCGCCGAGGCCTACGTGAAAGCTGACGAGTCCGACACCGGGCCACGAGCAATACAAAATGTCCATATTCACCAATTCTTAAAAAGTCTAACTCCTCACCTGGAATAGGAACTCATTAAACCTATGATCCCTGATTCTCCTCTCTGGCAGCCAAGGAGGCGCAGCCATGGGTAGGAAGGATCGTTGCTTTGTGGGGGTCGGGTGGGGGGCAGCAAGAGACCACAGTCCCAAGGCTCCCGCACCTCCCGGGAGGAGGGAAGGCCACTGTCGGGCTACCAGGGGGCCCAGCCCTGCAACAGCCGCCTGTTGGCACCGGGTGCCCACCACGTGCCAGGCCACAGCCCGCCCCAGAAACCCAGACCCCAGCACCAGCCACCTGGCCACCCCCGTCCCCGTCGCAGACCAGCGGCCTGGGGGTTCAGAGACTGACCCTAAGCCCCAGGCCCTGGCATGAGCGCCAGGCCCTTCTGCTCCCCTGTCCTAGGGATGGTCGCTTCTTTCTAAAGTCCCTCATCCTGAGGGGCCCCGGGAACCACCGGCCCTCCACACCTGCTGACCACCATCCCCCGCACCCGCCGACTGCCCCTCGCCTGGCCTTCAAGTCCCATCCCAGGCCCCTCCTCGGAGAGCCTGCCTCTGATTACCCAACCAGGCATCAGCTCCCTTCTTTCCATTTCCTCGGAACCTGGCGGCCACCCCCCGCTCGCCCGCATTACCTCTTCCCAAGGCTCCGTCTGGGGTGAGCTTGCCCCTCTGGGAAGAGGGGAGCTTTCTGGACAGGGCCCCAGCCTCCTCCTCTGGGGGCTTCGGGGATCTGCTCCAGCAGGTGGGCCCACACGTCCCTCCAAGGCCACAGTGGGAGTGAAGAAGACATTCGCTAGAACCCACGGAGAGAACCTGAAGTCCTGAAGTCATTACTTGACTTTGGAAGAGAAAAGGGGCCCTTATGAAATCATTTCGGCCCACAGGGTGGCCAGAGGTGCTGTTATCTCCAGAGGATGTGGCGGGAATTCCTGGCTCTGCTCCCTGGGTTGGAATTTAATTTCCACCTTAAAGCAGTCTCGCTCTCAACGGGGGTTTTGACAGTCCCAGGGCCACGGTGAGCAGGAAACCCCAGGAAGCCTCATCATCAGCCCCAAGACATCCAGGGACAGCCATGTGCGGAAACGGTGTGACATCGGACTCGCGGCCACGGGGCGGCCTCTACGGGTTTGCAGCCGACGCCCCTGTCTCCGTCCAGGGCAGTCTCTGAGGGTCGTTTTGAAGAAGGGCACTTCCTGGGACCCGGAGCGGTGAGCAGAGGATGCACGCGGCCTTGTGGGGACATCGTGCAGCAGGGAGCAGGTGTGCGGCCCGCGGCCGGGCACCCCGAGGGGCAGCCTCTAGTGCGCGGAGGCAGGGAGCCAACAAGGGCCTCTGCCGCCCAAATAGTTCACATGCTGCTGCATTTTATTGGTGACTCAAAATAAAGGCTTCAAGTGACAAGAAGCCAGCGTCCCGCCAGACGACGGTGACCCTGCAGGGTGCACTGCTGCCGTGCTGTGGCTCTGCGTCCTAGGTTTCGCTGCTAGGTTCTACTCACGGTGTCCTTCGCGCCGCCTGGACTCGGGGGCCCTCGGTGCCCGCACGACCTTGAGCGGCGCACCCTACCCCCTGGCTACCAGATGCCTCAGAAATCCTCAGGGAACCTCCCAACCAGGTCGCTCCAGAAGGACACGTGACATCCAAGTTCCCAGACACGTGCCGGGCTTTAAGCCCAAGATTCACCTGCTGGGAATTCCTTCTGAGAAAATCAGTAAATATGTGTGCTTAAGGCCAATCATTGTGGTAATAAGTTCAAATCCCTTAAACATCTGACCAGGGGAAGTAGCTAAAAAAATAAAATAATAAAATAAAATGATGGGATTCCCCGGGTGGCGCAGCGGTTTGGCGCCTGCCTTTGGCCCAGGGCGCGATCCTGGAGACCCGGGATCGAATCCCACGTCGGGCTCCCGGTGCACGGAGCCTGCTTCTCCCTCTGCCTGTGTCTCTGCCTCTCTCTCTCTCTGTGACTATCATAAATAAATAAAAATTAAAAAAATAAAAAATAAAAAATAAATAAAATGATGCTCTATTCGCCTAGTGAAATATTAGAGCACCTAAAACTACGTATCCGTGATGGTATACCAAATAGGAATAAAGAGGTCACAGAGCAATATGACTAGCGGGATCTCATTCTTAGGAGAAAAATAATACCGTGCTTTTTTTATTTTACCCAATCAGGTCAGCGGGTTGGTCAGTTAAAAGAAAAAAAAAATAAGTCAAAGTAGTAAAACACCAGTAATAAACATTTTGTTTTAACCCAAAACATAAATGTACACGCCTCCACCCGTCATTTGATAAAGAGCCAAGATTAATTTATTTTGGTCGCGGGTCCACTTTTTATAGCTCTGCGTCATCTGTCTTTATGCACCACACTGTCAAGTATTTTCAGTTTCAATTTCTTTAATTGGTGACAAAACATAAAGACTCTTGTGAAGCAATCTAAGTCCAAAATATTTCCATATTTCTATAATTTTTCTCCGACTTTGATGGCTGTCTTGCCTCCACCTAACGCGATAGCAAAAATTCAGCAAGTTGCCTTTTGAAAAATCTCTCCCTTACCGCTGACGTTCATTTCCATAAAAGTGATTCTCTTTTCAAAATCGCATTTCATCAGTTTGCATAATTGAGATCACACAACCAGTATAAACAAATTTGGGGGAAAAAAATACAACTGGCTCTTGATCAGTAGACAAAACTGGTGAGAAAGCAAATGCTTTCTTGAAAGGAGCCTACTTGCCATGTGAGGCGAAAAATTTTTATGGGGGGGGGCGCCTGGGTGGCTCAGGGGTTGAGCGTCCGCCTTTGGCTCAGGTCATGACCCCGGGGTCCTGGGTTCGAGCCCCACATCGGGCTCCCTGCTCCACCGGGAGCCTGCTCTTCCTTCTTTCTGCCCCCCCCCCCACATGTGCATAAATAAATAATATCTTTTTTTTTTATTTCATTTTTTAAATAACATCTTTTAAAAAAAAGATTTTACTGAGCAAACAGAAGCATTGCTTAACCCAGCACGTAGGCCCCGTGGAGGTCAGCGCCAGGCGGAAAGGCCCTTCTCCCAGTTGTCTGCGTGGCTGCCTCGACAATGACCCTCCAGCCTCAACCTGCGCCACCTCCCCAGGAAGCCTTCCATGATTACCTTGGCCTTTCCTCCTGTTCTCATCACATCACCCTGTGTTTTCTCCATAACCATCGTTACCATCTCTGACTCTCATTTACCTTTTGGTGACTGGTCTCTTGTCTCTCTTCACCAACAGACCACCAACCTGTCCACCCACTTGCTCGTCAGGGCCTCGCACACTGCCTGATAGGTCGCTACCATCTGACATGTATTGGGAGTTTGTGTGTGCGTATGGGTCCTTGTAGTCTAAGTGGTCCCGGGAGGAAGAAATATTATGTCATCAGAGGACTGCACGCCCGCATCGCCCACGGTGTAAGTCGCAAGCAAGCTAACGTTAGAGAATGATTTAAATTAGAATCGACAGCACGAGGTGGTGTGGTGTGTTATCGAGCACAGCACCCCAGGACCCTGGTAAGAACATCGCAGACGCCAGGGACGATGACAATTCCCTGGGAACTTCTCCAACGGCACCCGATCCCTGAAGCATCAGACGGTGCGACCAGACGGTGCGACCCCAGAGGGAGCTCAGTGTCTCCTCTGACTTGGCCCCTCTCCTTGTGCAGTCGGTCAACAGCACCAACCAAACCAACCCAATCATTTCTAGCATCTCTCTTCTCACCACGTCGAAGGACAAATTCAGGCCCTTTGAAAATCTCGAAGACGGTTTCACATGCAAAAGACGTCACTCGGGTCACTCCAGAGTCTGACCCGCCCTGAGTCCCTCCTTACCAGCCAGGAATGGAGTGCAAAGGGCCCCCCACCCCGAGGGGCCGAGGTACCTGGTGGGGAGGGGACCGGTTTGCAAGGGCAGGGGTTCTGCTCCCACCCAGGATGCAGCCTGGAGGCCGTGAAAGATGCTCCGCACCCGCCGGGTAAGGAGATGACTTTAGGCAGGTGGGTGCCAGGAGGAGATTTAAGGAAAAATATCTCAAAAGAAAAGGAAAGGGTCTGGGGTTTCCTGGAGGCAGGTAGACAAGGGAGTCGGGATGGAGGATGGGGTGGGTGGATCCCGGGGAAAGCCAGAGCGAGGTCCTCTGTGGGGACGAGGGCCCCCTCGGCTTGCACCAGGGACACCTGTGAGCGCTCGCAGAGCAGGCCTCCTGCTGGGCCGGCCGCCCGTGGCCCAGGCTCCCTGCCCACAGCTCGGGGAGGCCCTGGCCCCGCTGCTCCCAACCAGTCCTCCCGGGAGTCTGCGGCCCACCGACCTCCTCACCGTGCCCTGGGGCCACCAGCCCGCCGAGGCCTGTCATGCGGGGGGCCTGCAACCCTCACTCCCGCGGCATCAGGCTGGGACAGAGCCTTCCCTGGCCGTTCAACCCCACCCGGTCCCCAGTCCCCAGTGCAGCAGGCCCACAGGCAGCCGCTGCGGGCCCGGGTGGCAGCGGGACCTCTCCCCCACGGCTTCCGGGTGCCGGGCTCCTGCCCACGCTGTCCGGGGACACCAGCCAGCCCGTCCCCCCAGTGGGTTGCGCCCAACTGTTAAGCGCTCTCAACACTCAAAATCCAAAGTCTAACCTCTTTGTAGCCATAAGGGAAAGCTCACTTACCCAAGGGTGTCCTTTGAGCGCCTTCTCGGGGTCAGCCTGTCCGAAAGGAGCGACAGGACGGTCAAGGTGGGGGGGCCCCTGGGGGGCCCAGTCGATGAAGCATCTGCCTTGGGCTCAGATCATGATGCCGAGTCCCGGATGGAGCCTGGCGTGAGGCTCCCGGTCGGCAGGCCCTCTGCTCCCCTCTGCTCCCCCATCTCCTCTCCCAGCTCGGGCTCTCTCGCTCACGCTTGCTCACTCTCTCTCTCGAATAAATAAATACAACCTTTAAAAAAAAAAAAAAAAGATGACCGAGATAGAATATGAGAGAAAATCAGCCCCTCCCCAATCTAGAAACTTCTTGTCCCATTAAAAAGTCAACCAACCAAAAGTATCCTTAAGACTTTAGCGCCTTGTGCAACCATGACTCCATTATAGAATCTCAATGTTGTGGCCTTTTTGTCCTCCAGGACTCGTAAGGTGCCTCGCTTCACTGTCACACACACGTCTGACCTCTTTTCAGACACGTATTTGACATCTTTGCAAATGCATGTGAGCAGCAGCCCCCTCACGTCTCGCCTTTTCTGAAAGGGCTTTTGGAAGTCCACTTACGAGGTGACGTGCAAGGCCGTCTCCCCCGCCCCGTCCATTCGGAAGCCCCATCTCCCCAACTGACTGCAAGGAAAAGGTTGAAGGGGAGACTGAAGAGAAGAAGCCCGTCCCTGGCAGACGGAAACTGAAAGGACCCCGAAAGAGAAAAAAAAACAGTTTTGTGGGTTTTTTTTTTCTCCGACCTTGCTTCTTTCCCAGCTTCTGTTCTCGCTAGGATCTGCACCCCCGCCCTGCACACGCCTGATGTGTGTCCCCCCTTAGGGACAGAGTCACAGGTACCTTAGGGGTCCTCCATCCCTGAGGAATGACCGCCAGGGCCCTCCCAGGCGGGTCACATGCCCCCGGCCCGGCCCTGGGCCCGCCGGGGACTGCTGAGGCTGCGCTGGGCCCTGCTGGGGGGACGCTGACCTCCGGGAGCTGCGGGAGGACAGGAGGGAGCACGGCAGGGCCGCGAGCTCTCCCAGCCCTAGCGCAGCGCCTGACACCCCCTCGCCGACCTGTGTCTGGGCACACCCGTTTTCTCCACGAATTCGTGCAGAGTGGCCTGCTTTTCCACATATTATTTATTATCTGGGCTGCTGTCTTATCGATTTTTGAGACCGTTTTGTTACAAAGGAATGGGAAACATCTGATACAATAAAACTCTCCTCATTGACAATAATAAAGCCACGTCATGAAATGTAAATTTATATGTTTTCCCTTGTAAAAAGGTAGCATCTGTGGGCTACAGTCAGGTTGTGGGAATCAGCTGAAGGTTGTTTCCGAGGATTAATAGAAACAAAAACAAATATGAATACATTAACGTTTAGACGTAAAACCTAAGATAACATAATAGACTGCATTTCTAAATTTTAAAACTTGTTGGCTTATGATATTCTAGAGATATTTATTTCATAAAGGAGCACAATGTTAGGCTTACAGGACTATATATATTTCCTATTTATATTCCTCTTGCCCCATTTTTCATGTGCATTATATCATCTGATTTTATTATGCTTCATATTTTATTTATTCATTTACGAGGCCCTGGGATTTTATTTCTCGAAGTCTTAGCGGAATGTTTACCAAAAAACAGATAATTAAAAATAAAGCCACACAGCTCACATGCACATTTTGTTTTATGTGCAATTATAAATGTATTTTCAAGACAATTTTAATGTCCAATTTCCACGAAGCGTTTTCTTCTCCCTCTGCAGCACACACTCTAAGGAAATCTTAAAAAGAGGCTGTTTGCATAATTCTGGTAACTGCAAGCCGCACAGATCCCACCGACCCAGGAACGCCCAGGAATGATTTGCATCCCAGTAACGGAAACAACAGTATCTTTGATGCAAGTGGGTTTCCCAGAAAAATAGAATTGCCAAGAGGTGTTGGAAGAGGGTGGTTTGGAAAGAGGTTAGGACTACCGGGATACGGAACTGGGCCCGAAGGGGCCTTCGTAATGCTGTTCTGGTGTCCGTCTTGCTGTCCCAGCTGCTCTCCCGCTGACCCGCAGGAGCATGAAGCAACCGATGATCAATGCCAGGTACCAGGCGCATACGTACAGCAGTGGTGTCACCGTGGCCAGGCTGCCCTGCCCTCCTCCTTGCCACCTGCTACGAGAAGAACAGCAGCCAGTCTCCCCGGTTCGCCACTGTCTCCCCTGCGAGGCCCTTTGGATGCACCCCTACAACGGTGCGACACCTTGCGATCGCCCCCCACCCTTTAGATTTTCCTGGGCCGGTAGGGAGAGGTGAAGGAAAATGCAGAAACTCCATAAGAAAGGGAAACGCTTCAATCCGTGTAACTACCAAATAAAGAGACCGGATAGGAGCTTGGATCCCACTGGCCTGTACCCAGCTCCTTCCTTTCTCACCCCCTATTGAATAAATTCAAGTGATTTATGCTTGTTTTCCCATAGTCAGCTCAAGGGTCACTGCCCCCGGGAAGCTCTCCTAGCGGGGCCTCCTCATACTCTCATGACACCTGCCGTGTCCCACCGCGTCAGCCTGGGACGTGACCCTGCAACACCGGTGTTGGGGCTTGACTTCTCGGTGGACTCACTTCCTTGAGGGCAGCGGCAGGGGGTCGACATTCCCGTGGCCCCGGGGCTTAGCCGAGAGGCCGATACACCTAAAGGGCGCTCAGCAAACAGCAATGTACTGTTCACAAAAACAGCCTGTCGCTCCCGCAACGTCCAGCGCCGTTAGGGCTGCACTTGCTCACCTACCCAGCGTCTGCTCCCCTGCCTGTAGCACACCTGGGCTAAGCACCGGACATACACGATTTAATGTGAAACTCAAGCCATCTTACAGGAAGTGCATTTTTACTCCTAAATTACAGGTAAGTAAAACACAAGATACGGTTATTTCACCGGGATCACCCAGCCAGGAATGACAGAGTTTGGATTTAATCCAAGGTATGTTTGACTTGAAAACCTGTTTTTCCTTTTTTAGTGCTACTTAAAGAAAAACTGTTCTATATATGTTGCCACTGGAGAAAATAAACTTGCATCTGTGAGCATGGCCTCCTCGCTACCCCCTCTCGGGCTCCCCGTCTCTCCTACAAAGCTGACGTCTTCATGCGTTTGGAAGGCGGCCGCCCTGAAAACAAAGTCGACATTACGGCTCGAACTAAAAATATGAACTACCCCACCAACGGTCTAGTGTTCACATAGTTTCATTTTGTCAGAAACACGGTACGTGTGGCCATAAATTTGCTCACATATAAAGCAAACGTCACACACTCTATTGCCTTATAGGTCCCGCCTCACAACCCCAGCGAGCCCCCAGCCAGTGAGAAGGCCTGGCCTAAAGGACGCGTTTCCAGTTACGGGCTTATCCACCGAAGCTCCAGCACTTACATCTACCTCTGAAAGATTCCTCCATAGAACACAAATATTTCAAAACATAAAATGGACCAAAACCATAGGATGGAGCCAGGTCCTTGGCTGAGGACCACGGTGCCTCTGTTGGGGGCGAGGCAGGGAGGGGGGGCCGGTCCAATCCAAACCTGTCTCTGGTTTTGTGTAGACTGTGTGCCCCTAAGCTCCACGGCAACCAACTTCAGCCTCATTTATTCAAGTGAAAAAAGAAATAAAAACCACCGCTTCCTGTGTGCAAGGCCAAGTGCAAGAAGATGTAAAAATCCATGCGTAAGGCCAGTGAGAGCTGCCATGAGTAACCCCAGGAGACTTGTCGCCTTAGAGGCTGTCACTACCAGCATCGGTGGCTGGTGGCAGATTGAGGGGTTCGGTGTTCAGGGAAGATGTCCTTCCCTCTCACGGGATCAGGTGCTCCTGAGCTGCGACCCCAAATGGACAGAAAGAAAGAAGGTCGTACGCGGTGACTGTAGATGCCACGCCCTTGGCCAGATGGTCCTTCTCCACGTCTGGAGGAAAACAAGACCCACACAGAGGAGCTGCGGGACGGCCGCGCAGCCAAGGGCCTGGGGAACGAGCCGAGGCGCATCCTTACAGGGGGACGATTAAGACAACAAGGAACATGCTCTCTGTGGCAAGAGGTAAGGTTAGGTGGCAACGGCAAAAAGTACTCATTTCCTCACACCTCTGCCTCCCCACCGCAGTCTCAGAATCTTGCAAGTAGGCACCACGACTTCTCCACGTCCCCAGCGGACGATGTGACCATCGGCAAACATCAGACGAATGAAGGAATGAATGCTCCCTTCATTCTCTCTTGGATATTTGCCTTCCTTAAAAAAAAAAAATTATGTATTTTAGAAAGACAGAGAGAGCCCGTGAGTGAAGGGAGGAGCAGAGGCAGCAATTTTTTTTTTTTTTAATTTAAATTTACTTAGCCAACATAGTTCACCATGAGTTTCAGGTGTAGAGCTCAGGGCCTCATCAGGTGCGCATCACACCCAGTGCCCGTCACACCACGTGCAGAGGAAGAGGGTCTTCACGCAAACTCCGCACTGAGCGTGGAGTCCCACGAGGGGCTAGATCCCGTGACCCAGACCGTCGTGCCCCGGGCTGACCCCAAGAGTCGGGGACACCTCCCTGGAGGAGCCACCCAGGCGCCCCGATGTTTGCCTCCTTTCTAAGGCTCCTCTTCTCTGCTTGCCGACCCCGCGCCTCCTTACAAAGTCGTCTTTCTGAGCGGGACGGGGAGCCGGGGAGACACCCCGCCCGAAGCACTACCTATCACTCATCCTTGTGGCCAATTCCCAGAGCGATTAGGAGAATGTAATTATAAATGTCCAAAAATCTCTGACATATTTCAAGCATCAGACATTCACTAATATTAGTAGCACATTTATTTAATTCCGAGCATCTCTGTGTATTTGATAGATTGTAAAGAGGAATTTATAGGAGACGAGACAGGGTGCCTCATCCCCTATTAAAGCGAATATAAATAGCTTATGAGTGATGGTTCCCTATAACAATTTGCATAACAAATGCACTTCACCAGTAACTGTAGGACAGGCACCTAGTGTTCTAACTCATGAATATTTGGGGTAATTAAGTAGAGCACAGAATGTAAATACAAGGAAGGGGAGAAAGTACAGAACTTCTGCAAAAGCTTATCTGTAAACAAAAGACGCGGAGCTGCGTTTGTCCTCCTGCCTTTTAATTCTTTAGCATTTATATCTTTAAAAAAATAATGAAAAAAAAGATGTAGGGCCACCTGGGGGGCTCAGTGGTTGAGCGTCTGCCTTTGGCCCAGGGCGTGATCCCAGGGTCCCGGAATCGAGTCCCACACCGGGCTCCCTACAAGGAGCCTGCTTCTCCCTCTGCCTGTGTCTCTGCCTCTCTCTGTGTGTCTCTCATGAATAAATAAATAAATTTTAAAAATCTTTAAAAAAAAAAGGAAAAAAAAACAATGATATAAAATACCTGCGGACGATGTGGATCATCTGGAGACGGAGGTAGATACAGAGGTATGCCTGCCCGGAGTTTTAAAGCAGTCTGTAACATAAACTACTGGGCCGCAGACCACGTCTGAACAGGTTGTTTAGCGCTCCGGTCCTAATGGGTTAAGAGCCTCCCGTGCAACACGCTGATCGTGCGTGCTCCTTTCATCCCTCCAAGGAGATCCTGCAAAATGCTGAACACACGTATTCTTGCAAATTACTGGAAAGACAACATTCCCACGAGACAACGTGACGGTTATGAAATGAAGTGTGTAAGCCAAAGACTCCAACAGCTACGTTCAACAAACACACCTCCAGCAAACTTCCCTGCCCCGACTCGTGCAAATGGAATACGATCCCGTGGAAACAGCGACTCCCCTGCTCGCTACATTCAATACTAGGAGATAATGCAAGTTTCTGGCTCTATTTTAGTGTCTTTTCGGGGCCTACTTTCCTTTCTTCCAGGAAAGTAGGGGATCAGGGACAACAGTCTTCCCTAGTCTACCCACTGGTCCAATCGCCAAAGAGCCACTGGTCAGACTTTGGGTAAATCTGATAGGATTGAAAAGGGCAGGCTGTGGTCTGTAATCACGTGAGAACTCACTGCGATCTTTAAGAACATTTGTTGTGCGTCATTTCTAAATGATTAACTGATCGTTTTAACAAGTGGAATCCTTTAAATAGGCCTCATTTTAGGTGTGACCACTAACCCCCTCTCAGAGAGACAAAGTCTTCCTAAACAGGAGCAGCTGGGCCAGTGAATCTATTTTGTTTCTAGCTGGTTTTCGTACATCACTGAAACACTGGGGGCTCTCTCGTGAATCCACTCCCTGCCTGGGCGTTGTTGCCCTGGTGGGAACCCTCACCAGCCCTTAGCATCTCCTCTCCATCCTGCAAACAGTGTGACGACCGTGGCCTTCACGTGGAACCCTTGGCCACTGCTACCGTCCGGCTCTGCTGGTTTCCACCAGGTCCCACTTACTTTCCACGTGCTGTCGACACCCACCCAAAGGCTGGACATCGCTTCTCTCAAAACACCCACACAGATCCGGGGGCTCCCGAATTTTATAGAAAAGGGCCGTAAAGGTGTTAGTGTGCTTTAAACTTGAAGACGCAACTGCGCTAGGTGTCATGCATCAAAGACGGGGAGCGGATGCCTATCACCAGGGCTGCCCTACAATCAATCCCACAGCCTCCCTGCTACAAGCTCCGGTGACTGATCCACCAGTCAATGCACCCGCCCTGGGAGGCCGACACCGTCATTTATGGCTTTCCGATGTTCCCTGTCCTAGTGACAGGAGAGGCTGCTTACTAACCTCAGGGACCCTGGAGCTCAGGCACGAAAAATATCCCTACCCTAACAATGGGAAAGAAGGAAGCCTAAGCATGATACCTAACGCAGCCAACGTTCAGAGCATCTTTGCATTGGCTTGTTATTCCCCGTGAGCAGACTCAAACTTTGAGGGAGAGCACCTCAGGTGAGTCACCTGTCAAGGTGAATGACGAAGATCAGCTCCTACGCGGAGCTCTGATGTGGGCCAATGAGGGAACACGTGGGAAATGTCTAGGACAGCCTCCGGCAGGGAGTAGACACTCGAGGGCTTACGTCCTCTCCCCTATTAAAACGCCGTCTAGTCATTTCATGTGTCCCGCACTTACGAGATGCTTCCCCCATTAGGAGTTTCCTTGAGGTCAGGGCATAATAGGAATCTCACTCGGAGGAGTAGGGAGCACTGCAGGGAGCACCGAACCCTTCCTCCGTCACCTGCAGTTCTGAGAGCAACAATCCTATTTACCACGGGAAACCAACAGCAGTTACTGGGTAGAATGTGTTCCCGGTGGGTCCACCACGGCCCCAAAGCTTCCCAGCTTCCTGGGAGAAACCGCTTCTCAAGCCTCAGCCGGTCGCGCTGTAGACATACAAGTGGGAAAAAGGCATAAGACGATGTTGGGAAAGAATGCTTCAGCGATGACGCTTGTTTTGAATTTTTTTTAAAGATTTTATTTATGAGAGAGAGAGAGAGATGGAAGCAGGCTCCATGCAGGGAGCCCGACGCAGGACTCGATCCCGGGACCCCAGGATCCTGCCCTGGGCTGAAGGTGGTGCTAAACCGCTGAGCCACCCAGGCTGCCCTTGAAATGGTTTTATAGCAAAATAAAAGGCATAATTCCCTCATTCACCTGCTTCCCGGTGGCAAGGCAGGAATGGCATGGATTCTCACGTTTTTCCTTCTCTGATCACTATACACTGTCATCGGATCTTTCTAAAGCCACCTTTATGTACTGCTCCTACCTGCCTTACATCCAGAGGCTTCAAGGTTTTAAGGATATAAAAGCAGCTGCCCGGGATCCCGCAGACAAGCATTAAAGTGACATTTGCAAACATCATTGTTTCACTCCCAGTTCGCAGGCATTTTGACAAGAAGAAAATACGAACCTTCACTCATTCCAGGGCAAACATTCCGAAACCAAATGATTTACATGGTGATGGGCAAAGGTTGAATTCATGTATTTCATAGCTTCTTACCAACTTTCGTCAAACGTCTAACATGTGACTATGGGAATCCTTATCTGTGGAATATCCCATATATGGAAATCCCTTATAGATGGATTATATATTATATTATATATATATTATATTATATATATTCCCTCCCTTATATATGGAAATCCCATCTCCTTTCTATCTGTCCTGTGAATATACGCAAAATAAGCATTTTCATGATAACCTTTGGGGTCACGAGGTTAGGTTTCTGTATAGGAGACCCCCTCACCTAAAAATGTATATATACACAGGAGAAATCCCTTTAAGTGTAAGAATTTGGAGACATGAACTACTATGCAAATAAGGCCTTGAATGTTCTTTGATTATTAATATTTTTAAAATATTTTAATATAATATTAAAAATTATAAATATTATAATATATAAAATATATTAATATTTTAATATACGTTTTTAAATATAAATTACATCTCCTGCCATAGAAAACTGGGGTCACAGCAATTCAGGGGAGCACACACACACACACACACACACACACACCAAAACCCACCCAAATCTCAGAACGGCCAAGGGGAGAGCACACTCAACTAGCACCTTTGGGCGGGGAGGTGGAATTGTGATAATGGAAACCCTATCTCCAAGAAAACTGTTAAGGTGACTTTGGGGAGAATCTAAGAAAGAGACAGAGATTACACACAAGCTAATGTTCTATTTGTCAGATCGCAATACTTTCAGAATGTTTACATTTGCAGGGGAAAGCTACTTATTGTTAGAGCTTGTAGTTCTGGTTTCGTGGATATGGAAACGTCCAGGTTAGTTCAAAAGTTTCAACACGGATATTGCGACATCCCAACATCTCACCTAATCCACCCAAGCCAAATGCACTTGAGTTCGCTTTTTTTTTTTTTAGACATGAAACTTTGAGGAAAGGGACCTTAGATGAAATTCGTTGCTTCAAAAAGAGAAATTCTTGAGCAATCGATCCCGAGATAGATGCCGTCTGAGATCATCAATTGTGTTCATTGATCCAGACACACCAACAAGGCCTCAGGTACAACTTCTGGGGGCGGGTCTATAAGCCTCAGCAACTTAAGGAAACTGCAATACAATAGTTTACCCCCCATTTCTATTTTTGACAGACCAAGAGCTGTAACAAGAAAAGCGCCTACCCCATGGTGCTTCCGTCGGAATATATCTACAAAATTAACTCTGAAAAAAAATTGGAGTTGATTAGTTACATTAGACACTCTGTCAACAAATCCAGCTCGTCCTAATCAGTCGTAATTAACACTGATGTCTGATGAGAGGTACCAGTAAGAGCAGGCGGTGACGGCTGAGGTGCCCCTCTAGGGGCCTGCCGAGAGCCTCTCGTTATCTTCCACTTGAAAAAGAAGCGCGTTGGCTGCTTTGGTCGCTCTGGCAGAAGAGACAGGCGCCCGGGCCTCTAGTGGCTGTAAGGGCACCTGGTACACGGGGGCGTGTAGCGTGTAGAGACGAGTGGCTTCCGGTGTTCTCCAGGAACAGAGTGTGAACATCAAACGCCAGCTAACCCATGCTTTCCATTACGGCTCTCGAGCTCAAGACTGTTGGAGACCACCTCCCAGAGCAACCCCCTAGGTCACGGGGGCCATCCGCACGCGCCAGGGCCCCTACTTCCCTCTCACTCCTTTCCCGCTGCCTTCATAGAACTCCGATTCCCCAAAGCTTTACAAACCAGAGAATTTTTTTTGAACCACCGCATTCCTTGTAGTTCTGCTAGACGCAAAGGAGAGAAACAGGACCTAGTCTCCGTGACTTCATCGGGGCTTAGGATTTTCCTTCCACCCCTTCCTGCTCCCCCTAGAATGGAGTAGTCCTCTCTCACTTGGATTTTTTGGTTTTGAAGATTATATGTACTTATTCACGAGAGACACAGAGAGAGAGGCAGAGACACAGGCAGGGGGAGAAGCAGGCTCCCCGCAGGGAGCCCCATGCGGGACTCGATCCCGGGACCCAGGGGTCACACCCTGGGGTAAAGGCAGATGCCTAACCACTGAGCCCCCCCGGGCGCCTCGTGTCACTGGGGTTTTTATCCTTCTCTTGAAACTGCCTGGTTCTCATCTGCCTGCAAACCCACAAGTCTTTTCATTCTCACTTTCCTCTGCTCCTTCGCGATCCATTCACTGGTCAACCACGAGCACCTGATCCCACGTCTCTGCCCCACTTGCTCTTCTCCTCCTCCCCCCACCCCCGACCCTGATCCAAAGGCTCCTTCTCCCTTCCTGAACCCTCCTCTGGGACACTGGACGGAGCCCATCACCCAGGTGTCCCCGTGGTACCAGCAGCACCGATTCTCTGAACTTCCCCGTCAACCTCTTAGGCTTCTTTCCTCCTCCCCTCAAAGTCCCCTTCATCCCCACTGTGTCCCCAGGGCTCCTTATCCTCCCGTGTCCGTTCTCCCCCTCCCCATTCCTTCCGTTGGAATCCAGTGCTCATTCTCCCGGGCTCTCAGGTCCCTCGTAGGGCACACACAGTAATATCCGGGAGGATTTATTTTGTTTTACCGTA